AGATTATTTTTCACATCGATGCACATAAACGCAAAGAAAAAAAATTGAGAAAAAAATAAAGGGGAAAAATTTTCATTTCACACGAAATATCTGTCAAAAAACATTACAAACTGCTTTCATAAGCTGCTTATTTGTCAAAAATAAAAAGAAAAAGAAAAAAGAAGAAAGGAATAAAAATAAAATAAAAGATGAAAATAAAGACAGAACTAAAGATAAAAATTAAAATAAATATGAAAATAAAAATAAAAATAAAAAAAACTTTATCATCTGTTCAAAGACAGACAATTAATTTTCAATTTTAACGCTTACGACAAGGAACACTTTTTGTCTTAAAAAAAGCTTCTTACTTTTTTAATTCTTTTTTTTTTAAATTTCTACTCTAACAAATGTATGTAACTGTTGAATGCTGAAAAAAGATATGAATAAAAAACCTGCATATTCTGAAAATGGAATTTTGTCAAGCAAAAAAAAAATGATCAGGAGAAATAATTTACTAACGGTAAAACTGTTTTTTTTCTGCTTTGTTTTGCTCCAAAAAAGAAGCTCCTCAAAAGTCTTAAGTGAAAAAATTAACAGTATTTACTTTTGAAAAACTAACAAACTTTTGCTTACACCCCTTCATCTCCTTCAACAATTTTTATTTTCGTTATCGGAGCAAATATAATAATTTGTGATATACACTCAAAAAAAGATACTATCTTTACAGTTTGCACAAGAAAGCTCTATTTGTATGTTATTTCTGCTTATAGATTACCAAGAAAAGAATCAAAAGACATTGACGACAATAATGGTCACTACCACAGCTACAACAACAACAGTTATGGACAACTGACTACAAAGACGACGTCGACGTCGACGGTGACGACGACGACGACGACGACGACGACGACGACGACGACGACGACAAAGACTGCGACTACATTATCCCCCCATTGATAGCAATGACATTGCAAAAGCGACGACCATCTGCTTTCTACAGCTGTCCATGATTACATCTTTTCTTTTTTCATACATGCTGCTTTTAATGCTTTAGCTCCAGCTAAATAACTGCTTTTTTTCTCTCTTCCCTTATCCTCTTTTTTATTCTTGTTCTTGTTAAATATTTGCCAAAAAAAATTTTCCGCTTTATTAAAAAAAGCCCTGAAAAAAAATAAACAACCTCTGTTAATTGCTGCGTGTTCGTGTTAAAACAGAAGAAAATTGATGGCGAACTAAGCAAGCGCAAACATACAAACACAAACATAGATATATATTTGTGTTTATATATATATTCACTAGAACACTAGTTGGAAACAGCAATGGACAGTCTAACAATATCTAAGGAGGATTCAGTAAGATAAGAGATTTAAAAACCAAGAAAAAAAAATTTCTTTGTTTTTTTTTTTTTTAAAGTAAAGCCGTAATACCTGCTAAACGAAGAGCGGACATTCGTTGAAACTCCGGTTCCTGTAACCATTTAGCCATCCGTCGAAACGTTTCTCGACCACTTTTTAGTTTCGACCATGGCTTTGGGTTACGTAATAAATCCGATAATGTACCTTGCGACCTAAAATCATTTTAGCGAAACTGTTGACAATCAAGTTAGCATTTTCGGTGTCCTTGTCTGTATCTGTGTGTATATTTATAATGTGCATGTGTTTGGTGTCCGTGTGTACGGGCTGTATTCATGTACCTACATATGTTCACGTTTTATTTATGTCTGTGTTACGTATGTGAAATAACAAATTGACCTGCAAAGAACTCGTTGAGCAAATATTGCTTGAGGAATTGAATAACGTTTGAGTTCTGCTGAAATCCGTTGTGCAAGCTCCTTGGTATTTAGTTCTTCCATATCGCTTCCTGAATCCGGCGAATCAGGTGGTGCAGATGTAACTTCTTCTTGAAGTGGCGTTGAATTACTCTATAATGCCCGACAAAATTCGCATACAGAAGAATTGTTGTTGTTTGTAGATAAAGAAGAAAAAACGGTTAAAGTTTTAAGGAAAATTTGAAATCAACTTTACCAGAAGAGAAGAGGAAGCAGAAAAAAATAACAGTTACAGTAAAAACAAAAACGATAATAATAAGAATAATATTAAAGAACAAAAAGTAATAGTATTAATAACAAAAAAAAAAAAAAAAAAA